GCTGACTGATTTAAATACATCTTAACATTCATGAGGTACTTTGCACTGACTGTTTATGGTTGAATGTGGGCGTGTAGAGGGTAGAACCTGAGGMGGGACCTCGTGCGCAAACTCTGACATGYGGCTGTGATTTATAAAGGAAAGATGCGCAGAAACGTGCRTACGCAAGGTTCTATGAATCTGAATTTTTTTGGCGTACGCCATTTCTGCCTTTTGGCCATACGTTCATTTTTAGTATGGTTTCCACGCAATCCTTTGTAAATGAGACCCCAGACCCGGTTTAGACACTGGCAATGAAAAAAGCCTAGTTGCCAATTCTACCTGCTAGAAAAATGGCTGATTGTTGACCCCCACACTTTCTGAATAAATCAGTTCAGGCTTGTGAGCAGATTTTGCTAATAACCCTTATATWTATTGTTATATTGTTTTCTATTAGAATTGTAAATGCTTTGTATTGAATCATGTTAAGACTGCTGCAGCACATGTAATTTTTTAATATTGATTCTGTGATATTTTTGTAAAGCCACTGTAACTGTTTTAGAAAAAAGCTATAAATAAATAGAGGTGAAAAGTTGTTGCTCTAGAWCAGTATTTTCTAAATGCAGTATTACTATCAAGAAGTATTGCTTTTTTTTCTTTTTGGCATAGTCCAATTGCTCTTATTAAATGCTTTGATCCGAGTTTTGTTTTGGTTTAGATCTTCAGTGGATCCAGAAGTACCAAGGCCATCTACAGAGATTTATGTCATCTTTCTTCCTGGAGGAGATATTACAGCACCTCAGAAAGGTGGGCGTCCTGACTTTGGTTGAAGAAACTGACATCAAGGAAGCTGGCCCGTTGCATGACCAAGTTAACATGCTTACCACAATTGTCTCTGGCAAGGAAGGCCAAAGATCTGAGGCCCTTCAAGCATTCATAGAGAGCTCAGACTCTCCAGTTGCCCAGCTCATATTAAACCATGGTAAGAGGCTCAAACTGTGATGAAACTGAAGTGGATAATGGTTTTATGTTTAAATCAACAGATAATCAAGCTCTTCTGTGYCTCAATTGTTCATTCTATTAGAACWTTTTGGCATGTATTTTTGTTCATCTTTTAACACCAATTCAATTTTGTTTTTCTATAGATTCCATGTTTAAGAAGCACAAAGAGGTGCTCCTACAGCAATTTGAAAAATTCAGGGACAGAGACACTGTCAGCTGCCCCAAACTGAACATCTCCTCAAGAGCCTTGCTGCAGGTTGATGGACTTTCAGACTTCCAACAAAAGGAGCATGACCTGATGCAGGTCGGAGTGACTCGAGGTGGCAAAAGAAATCACCTGAGGCAGCTGGGGCTAGAGAAGCTCTTCGAGCCCCTGACGCGGGTGAGTTTGCCTCCCAGGGTCTCCCTCACCATCGGGGTGGCTGGCATTGGCAAAACAACCTGGTTACGACACTTTGTCAGACAGTGGAGCCAAGGGGTCACCTGTACGGATATACATTTCGTCTTACCTTTCTCTTTGTGTGAGCTGAACTTGCTGGAGAGACTTTCTGTCGAGAGGCTGGTGAAAATGGCTTTCCCTCATTTGACGGATCCCAGTTTGGTCCTGAGTGGCGCCTGCCGAACGCTGCTCATTTTCGATGGTTTGGATGAGTTTCGCACAACCTTAAATTTCTCTGACGCAGCTTCTTGCAATGATCCAAAGAAAGAAATTCCCATCGACAACCTAATTACTAACATCATCCGAGGAAACTTGCTCCCAGAGGTGGCGGTGTGGGTGACATCAAGACCGGGAATAGCTTCACTCATTCCTGGAGGACTGGTAGACAGAGTAACGGAAATCCCAGGGTTCAGTCCCACTGACATCCAGATCTTCCTGAACCACCATTTCTCTGAGAAGGATTTCGCCAGCAGAATGTGGGCACACTTGGAGACCCATAAGACCTTGATGGTTATGTGTTACATACCATGTATTTGTTGGATGGTAGCTGACACTTTGTTGTACATCATGCAGAGTAGAACACAGGACAGCCTCCCAAGGACTTGCACTGAGCTGTACGCCCAGTTTTGTGCCATGAAAGCCGAAGTAGGTGAGCCGAGAGGCAGGGAGCCTGTAAAAATAGAACAGCTTCACGGGACCAATCGTAAACTGATGGCAAACCTCGGACGGATGGCATTCTATGGCCTCCTGAAACACAAGTACACCTTCAGTGAGCAGGATCTCAGAACTTACGGGATTGATTTGTTGTTAACTCAAAGCAGCTTTGGCGCTGGAGTTCTTATTCGATTAGAGTCTGCCTTACACACAACGTACAGGTTTACAC